AAACTATATTTTTTTAAATTGATTTAATCTTCTGCTATTGTCATAGGGTAGAAAGTTCCATTTCTGTAAATCCTTAAATTGTTAATACACGACTTACAACCAACAGGTTATACAGTTAAACCTCCCTAAATGCAACTCGTTGTGACCAAACTTGCTAATGTACGCATTTAGAAGGGGTTGCGTTTAGGAAGATCTGATTGTACCTTTTATTTTATAGGCATCGGTCAGAATTTGGAATTTTAATAATAATGAAGGATCTACTGTTGTGTCTCTAGCCCAACTAAGCCTTGACTGCAATCCTATACACTGCCACTTGTGTACCTTTTATTGAGAATATTTAGCCTCGCATTTATTTACGTAGGCTTATTTTTCCATTTTGGTTAGCAAAACTTTAAACATACATAAGTACGTACAATACGTCATAACCAACTATTTCATAACCTCTATTTTATTTATTGTGGCATTGCGATTCCTTATTCGCGAAAATTAATTGATCGAAACTAGTATTATAGTTATGGTTTATGGGAAAAATACCAGGATCACTATATCAAGAACAAGGAGTATTTGGTAAAAATACCCTGATCCGGATGTGCGGAAACATCGTTTACGATAATACCCAGTTCAGGATATTTTTATTACTAAAACAGGTTCAAACCTCTCTACACAGGATAGAAATCCGGTCTGTTCAATGCATTAACCCCTAAAATTTTTCACCTGTAACAAATATTAGTGTCATATTGTTCATATTTGTAAATTCGGATACGAATAAGGTTATATTGTATTGTCACTGTGTGGCTTCCGAATACGTAAGGTTTTCCTAATCGGAGTTTCAGATAACGATAAACAAATACTCGATTTGTTATCGGAGTTTCGGATAACGATAAACAAATACTCGATTGTTATCGTTACAATAAAAACTGTACTTACGTACTTACGTCGTACCTATTCCGTACGCACGGGATTTACCAAGATAATTTTTGCTCCGAACTCACCGACTTGAATATTATCGATATTGATACTTAATAAACTTTGGAACAAATTTAGTAAATGCTAAAAAAAAAGAAATTAAAATAATAAAATTTTAACAGTACGTAACTAGATAAATTCCAAATAAAATCATATTAATGTGTATGGGAAAAAATAATATTAGAAATTTATTTATACAAATATGGACACATGTAATTTATTTTCTATAAATAAATAAACTTTAACTAATTTATCATTATTGCTAAAAATCTAGACGCAAAGTTCGTATGTACGTGTGTCCGCACGTACGTTCGCAAAACATTAATTGTATATAATTAATTAATTAATTATTAGTTTAATAGAATAAGAATCTAAATAATAATACAACGACCAAACTCGAAGATAAAAGATCGTTCTTGAATATGTTTGTGGCATCGGACGTTTTTGGCGTTTGTGTTGGACTAGTTATGATATCAACATGAGTTGGAGTACTTTCATGAAATGGGGGAGGATCAGGTGTCGCAATTGTAGTTTTAGTTGTCGTAACAGCCAAAGTCACATTTTCAACGTAAGGACGCGTATCACCCATACATTCATGAACAGGCTTTATAGTATAATTAGCTTTCTTAAGAATTGGCACGACCAAAGGAATTTGAGCAGCAGTTTGATTATATAAATCGTGTTC